TTGTTTTTTCTTCTTTTTTTTTTTCTTTTTTTACTAATTGGGAAAAAAATGAGTTTTGATATTTATGATCTTATTTATCAACATAAATGAATAATCATGGTGATACTTTATTCATTTGGTAATCTACATAAATACCCAAATATTCTTTTATCGCATTTTCATAAAAAAAAAAAATAATAATAATCAATAGTATTATTTTAGAATCATTGAATTAGCAATAACTCAATCGATTCATTTTTCTGAAAGTTATAAAAGCAATTTTCTACAATATCAAAAGAAATTAACATTTATCTTAATAGCAAAACAATATTTATTTTTAATAACAAATCTTGCGTTCTACTGCTTCGTATGACGTCCAACCATATGTAGCTTGAAATATATGTTGAAACATTAAAATATATAAGTATAAAATAAATTTAGTAATCATTGATCATTGACCACAATACTACAATAGATCTGATATCTAAATCTAAATATTAATAGCAAGACCCTATTAACAAATCATTTGATCATTTAGTAACGAGTCATATATCAAAAATCTATTCAAAAAGTTAAAAAAATACCCTTTTATTTTATCAATAACTGCATCGAACCCATTTTTTAAAATTTTATATTGTAATTCACAAAATCCATGAAATTTCATATAGATTAATATATTATAAAGAAAATTTAAAATATTTATAATATACACTTTATTTGTCGTAATTAAAAATTAATAAATTTTTAACTTTCGCGGTCATTTTCAATTAATTGTTGGTCATAATATTTGACACAACTTTTCAAATTTACCACAACTTATCTAGAAATCGACATAGTATCTTATAATAAGATATGAGTAAGTGAGGATAGATCAAATTTGGCTACCCATCGGTGCCTCCACTTCCCAGAGACGCATTTTCTAGTCGGACGATGCTTCTCTCCGACTTCGTACCCTTGTGATGATGGATCATATTGACTGCGCAATGTTCAAATTTTGGTAATTGTTTTGGTTTTATGTTCTCGTTGCGCTGACTGTTCGTATGGTCACTTGCCAACTCAGTTTCAGAGCTTTGACTTTGCTTGTTGTTTTCTTATTTGTTTTTAGCAGAAATTCTATGGCGCCACATGTGACACGTATTATGGTGCCACAGCATGATGTGACACATTATGATTGGTGCCACAACATGATGTGTGATAGTTGTGGCACCAATCATAATGTGCCACATCATGTTGTGGTGCCACATCATGTTGTGGCACCATAGAATTTCTGTTGTTTTTAGTGTTAGTTTGTTTTATTTACTTTTTTATCTTGTAAATTTGTAAATCTCCATACCTTTTTGGGCCTGATCATGTACATGTTGATGGTCCCGCTTTAACCCCATCCTACTGGATTTTTTTTCGTTAAAAAAAAAGATATGAGAGAGAGAGAGAGAGAGCGATGTTTTAATATATTTAATTTTCAATACCCACTCTAAAACGATAACTATTTTACAACGAGTGGAAAAAAAATACATCGTATCGTATATTAAATTATTACACATCATAAAATAAAATAAAAATAAGATTAATATTCAAAGCTATTATCAATTCATTGCTTTAATATATGTCATTTATAATTATTGTCTCGTGAATCGCACGGGCCACGTACTAGTTAGATAAATAGACTGATATAAAAAATGTCTTAGGGTGTTTGTTTATAAATTTATCCAATTCTTACTTGAAATCTAACTCAATTTTCACCAAACTCCACTAGTTTCAATATTATTAATATAATTATATAATATCAAACAACATACTTATACATCACATCAATTTTAATTCACTTTTCCCCCACTCATATAATTTTAAATATTCATCACTTGACGTCACTCTCTCTTACATTTACATCAATTCAACTTTAATTATTTTATTCTAAATATTATTTTAATATAACTTCAAAATCTCACTAACAACTAATCATACCAAGTTGTTTAAAAATTAATCCTGATTAACGCAAAAAACTCATTTTCTACATTTATATCAAATCAACTATAATTATTTTATTTTAAATTTTATTTATATAACTTTAGAATCTCACTACCAATTAATACTTCTTAAAGTCTTGGTTAACAAATAAAACTCAACTACTATTCTTATTTTATTATTATTCTGGAACAAAATTCAGCCATTCCAGACCTGGAAACGACAGGTTGTGGGCATGTCCAGAAAAGATGAGGCTTGATTGGTCACATAATTTCTAAAACATTAACACTTTTTGCGCAACAATTCAATTGACTCTCGACATTTATTGCACATAACATGACATGATGATAGCATAAATGCATTATGATCATTTTCTCACGGCAAAATTGCATCAAAATACACCACCTTTTAACTTTTTGCAATTTAATCACCACCTTTCAAAGTTTGCAACTAAGTACACCAACTTTAGACATTTGGCAAATCGAAGCATGCCAAACAGAAACCAAAACCGACTTTCTTACGTGGCAATGTAAAAAACTCAAATGGAAATCAGAAACACGCGTGGAAGTCCAAAAATACCAAACAAAAAATTAAAATGCCATAAAATCAGTTTACTTGGCAGATTTGCTAAAATAAAATAAAAAATTAAGTAGCTCCTTATACCTAAATTCAAAATCAGTCGAACAACTATGAACCCTAAATTAAAAAAAAAATGTCGATTAATTCAAAATGTTCTCTTGTGGCCAAAATAACTCACCTCCAACATAATTTCCATAACCATCAAGAATGATAAATCTCCCCCATGGTTCAAATTGTTCGACAATTTGCAATTTAGGGTTCTTAGTTGTTCAATTGATTTCGAATTTAGGGCTGAAGAGCTACTTAATTTTGATTTTATTTTAGCAAATCTGCTAGTTAGACTGATTTTGTGGCATATTAATTTTTTGTTTGTTATTTTTGGACTTCCACGTGTGTGTTCAATTTTCCACGTGAGTTTTCGACGATACCACTTAAGAAAGCAGGTGCCGGTTTTCGTTTGACATGCTTCGATTTGCCAAATATCTAAAACTGGTGTACTTAGTTACAAACTTTGAAATGTGGTGATTAAATTGCAAAAAGTTAGAAGGTTGTGCATTTTGATGCAATTTTGCCTTTTCTCACCAAATCACGTGCCCCTGTTTCAAATATTTGCAAACCACATCAACTTTAGGGAAATGTTATATTTATGTTCCGGTACCATCTTGTCGGGGTGTTTTAACCGTCGGATCATCTATCTTATATTAACTACATGTGTATCTAACGGTTGAACACCCGACGAAATGGTAACGAGACCTTAGTATTTCCCTAATCTTTATAATATAAGTAAAAATGAAGAAGTGTAAGGGCTAAAATTGAGAAACAAATATAACATCAATCATTCAATTCAATGAAAATGGTAATTATTTTGGAATGAACAAGTCGCGACCCGTACAATGCACATGATGATATATTTAAAATGAAATCTTTAAATTTTGTAGGATATTTAACTGTGAAAGAGTTATTATACATACGAAAATAATACACAGCTCGACAATAACATGAGAAAGTCATATCATATATTATTGAATATCTCTTTATATACAATATTTTTTATTTAATATGTTGGAGAGTCATTGTCTGCACAAACTAATTTTCAAACCGTTTCTATTAGTGACACATGAGCAACGTGTAACTGGTCATTCAAAACCAAACCAACATGTGATAATGATTGTGTCTTACTCTTATTTATTATCATGATGTAACAAACCATAATTGAGAAATATCGTTCCTTAGTTAGGTTTGTTTCCATAGATTTATGTTTATGTCCACACAATTAGGAAACTAACGATGCATATTTTCAAGAATTCACTATATATTTTTGGATAGTGATGTCAGAATGAAAAAAAAAAAAAAAANNNNAAACACACACACACACACACACACAATTTTGTTTATTAAGTTTATATAAAAGGTATTATGAAACCAACCATATAAATTTTAAAATCGATAAAGATCCTGGTTTTAAGGATACTATATCTTCCAATCTATACTAATTCGTTGAAAATGAAGCCTTTACGGGTAGGAATCAATTTCTTTTTAAGTTGGAAAATCGCTCAAAATGATTCTAGGATGTCTACGGATTCTTCGTATTAATATGTACTAAATATATGAAAGTTTGGCCAATTTTACAAAAAATGAGTTTCGAGTAGTTTTTCAATTTAACATATTTTAAATTGAATAATTAAAATAATCCGAAAAAATTATAAATCTTTTGGAGTTCGACGTGAAATTTTGACACGCATTTTACAAACATTTAGAATATATATATTATTTTTGCAGTGAACAAAAAATTTAGTAAATAAATGTTGTTTCAAATATTAGTGTAAATAGATATTTATAAATCAATGTTAGATAATGAATATCGCTTTAAAAGTTATAAAGTTATCAATATTTTTTCGTTGGAAAATCGATTAAAATGATTCTAAGACTTGTACGAATTCTTCATATTGATATGTGAAAATCTGTCCAATCCTGTGGACAATGTTATTTTTGTAGTTTTTCAATTTAACATATTTTAAATTAACTATTAAAATTAATTTAAGCAAAAAAATCATAAATCTTTTCAAGTTCGACCTAAAATCTGACCCGATCAGTTTAAAAAGAAGAAGATAAATAATGTGATCGACTTTTTAAATTTATCGATAAAAAAATTGATGTGTAAGGCATAGAAAAATAATTTTCGTCTTTCAAATACATTAAAATTTTCATTTTACGTAAAATCAGGAAACAAAAAAATGTTTTTAAAATTTTAATAACAATTACTACTATTGGAAAGTCAAATAAATTTTACCAATAAAAACACTCTAATCTTAATAAATCCAACAACTTTTTTCATTTAATATAGATTCGTTACACCAAAACACTGTAACATTGACTAACTATTCGACCTTTCATAAGCATTTAAGTTATCATAATTTTGTTTAAGTTAG